TCTGGATGTCATGGCTAACACGTTAGCAAGCAATTATCTATGTAAACATCCAGTGGACACAGAGCTACGTTATTCAGTTGGCGTCCGTTTTCTTTTAACCTTTTTAACTCTGCTGTTGTCTCCTGAGAGATATATCTGACTCTTAAACTGCTACAAGCTCCATTTTCTTCTCTAGCTACCACTTATTTAACCCGTCTTAATTTGGTGAGCTCCAGTGGAGTTTATCAGAATATGCTTTGCAGAAAAAAGAGCTTAAGTAAATGCAGCATTAATCCAACTTGGAGCAAAAACAGGCAACAAATCTGCGTAAGGGCAGCATATCTAGATTTGTCACTATAAGCAATCATTTTTACATAGTGACTTGATGTGTTTGTTAATAAACAAAATATTGATTAGTGCCGCTTTGAACGTGCATCCTGAACGTTAGCTTATTTCACTGCTGCATCCCGGCCTGCCTTTTTGTGAGATGCATGAGAACAAAGCAACAATAGCCATTTTAGTCGGTGTAATACACATTTTCCGTTGCCTGGTAGCCACTTCCATAACAACATTGCACTTATTCAGAAAAAGAGGAAGAGAGAGAGAGGGGAAAGAAAGAGCTATCAGCACTCAAAGACCAATTGGCTTTTATCCATTGATGCCGTATGCATCGACGACGGCGGCGGCATATGCGAGGCATTTCTCTGAAGTCAGGACGGCATTATTAAGTCAAATTAAGCCCTGAAGCTGAGTGCTTGACCCTTTCTTGCCGGGGGGATGCTATCTCGTTGTGCCGCATTAGGAGGCCCAATTGATCCCGTCTACATTTTAAATAAGGCCATTTCTGGACTCTCACCAAGAGGCTCACCCACCCTGAGATCCTCATTAACACTCCCCCCTATCTCACGCTGTCATCCTCGCAAATTATTCGCTCCCCCACGCCTGTCGTCTTATAGCACGCTGTCGCAGTGTTGCTATTTCTTTTTTTCATTTCTGTCCATTGGGCGCCTTATCTTGCCTCAGTTCACCCGTCGCTGTTTTCCCCCAGCCTTCTCCTCCCTCTCTATTTTCGTCTGTTTGGCTCTTAGTGAGTCTGAGGGAGAGACTGAAAGGGAATTACAGAGTCCTTGGTGTCATTGAAGCCACTGAGAGTGACAGAGCAAAGAGAATAATGAGCCCTCCATCCTTCTCCTCAGACCAGACTCTCTCTGGGTTTTGTTGTGGTTCAAAGGTCATTTATCTTGGTACTTTGGAGACGGTGACACACTCTTTCCCCATGACTCACCCACAGACACATTTGAGTTAAATGAAACTAATTAGCTATACATTTTGGATGATGGATTTTAGGCTCCCATTCTAGTAGCAATTACGGAGTTTCAGGACTATTGATTTACTTTTTCGGAGTCGAGCTAGAGCAGATTGTGTTGCCAGGAGGAACAACTATAGAAGTTTACTGTATAACCCCGGGTAATTATTGTTAGGAAAGTGCGCTGCAAATCATCAAATTCTTTCTCTGCACACAGCCATTGATTGTTTGTGACGTTCAACCATAGACCATAGCACCTCTCTGTGGCGGCTCACAGAGCCCCAAAGGACGGACTAAGCAGCTCCAGCATCTCTCCCTGACATGCGTACTTCCATAACCTCGCGCACCGTGGGTCCCCGGGCCCCCGTTCAACTCATCATCAGCTTCGACAGAGTATCCTTTCATCAACAGGCAGCCTATATTTGAAGCGCATACAATGCACTGCCGCGGGATATTCGCTGCGTTAAGCAAGAAAGAAACTGGATGGAATATGCTGAGTATGCACGACTTTCAAAATCAATGGCATAAATATGACTTAAACATGCAAACCATAACAACGTGGACGTTGTAGCAGTGTGGCAAAACGAGATTTTCTACACTGTATTACAATAACAATAACTGCACAATGACTTAACATGAGAGTCTATGGGACGATTTCCCTTCGATTCTATTGGCTCTAACGGTCAGGAAGAGATGTCACATGTCAAAATCGAGCAAGGGGGGCCAGAGATAGGTTAATCCACCCAAATGACCCCAGAAGAGGGTTTTTTCGCTAAATCTGTCTAAAAAGGTCAAATATAACTTGTTTTGCATCAATCTTGATACGGGGTACTTATTATATGTTGTACTTTGGATTCCTAAAGCTTTTAGTCTACTAACCAAACATCCAAGGTTAGTTTTCACCAGTGGTGTAGTGGGCGTTGGACGCGGGGGTACGCCGTACCCCCACTTATTTGGAGCATGATCTTTTTTTTAATAGTCTAATAAATATAAAATCATTGCCAGTCTTATCAGTTGCAAGTGTGTATTTGTTGTAATAATGACAAAAACATTCTTTCACACACAGTGACGTCACGAGCTACCCACAATGCAACACGCGCCATATAAATATATATAAATACGCCATTTTCCTGGAGGTGCTAATATCCTGGAAGTGCAAATATAAACAGCTAGCTAACGTAGCCAGGCAGAGCGCACTAGGTTTTTTTTCTGAATTAACGACCGAAGAAATCGCTGCATGTCTTCAGAGTCAGATTTACAAATATCATATTTTGACCATAATCGAAATATTCGGTTATTTTCAAAAGCTTTTTTAGTCTGATGCTTCGATTCATTTTAAACAGACCGTTCAACAAAAGGATACCCAACATCTAAATATTGGATTGTTCTTTCTTAGTAAGATTCCATTTTCATTACAATTGGGGTCTTACCTTGACTTGAAGATGAAGTCCATGCTATCCTTCTGGACAACAATCTCTATTACTTTTTTGTAAAAGTCCTCCTTATCTTCCTCTAGTTTCAAAAGTCTAGTTTGTTGTTCGCGTCTATACCGTCTCTGCGTAGAATAACAGTAGCAACAAGAACCTGTGGGCTCACTTCTGCCCCCTTCAGTGCGGCAGAGGTTATGGCTGCCTCCCCTGGTGCTTTTTTCATTGCCGTTGTATGATGAGACCAGCGGGCCTAAATATCATATATACGTGAAATAAGTTATTTAGAGACTATGGATGGCGAGGATAAATGTAATAAAGGGATCTACAAACATTACATTGGTGACATACAGTGAGATGGTGCAGGCATGCGCTTAGGGCCCGCTTTCCAGCCAGTTTCTGTGAGGTGACGCATTCTGAGGTGAGGCAGAGCTCATCTGTGCCTCATCTCACCCCACAGTAACTGGCTTGAGCGCGCTCACAAAATAAGTGCCCGCGCTAAATTAGTGCCGGTGTTGTGTCACATTATGCCTCCCCGTCATGAAATGCCCCCCTTGTCACGGGAACGCGCATTTCTAAATGACACGTTTCACCTCTAAATGACACGTTAACACCATAGGTTTACACCTTAAAACGATGTTTAAAACGAAAAGTAAACGTTCAGGGTTTTTATTAATGGTAATTTTCAGACTGTGAGTTGTTTAGTGGTAGCTCATAGTCTTGATTCTTCTGGTTTAACTTTTCGCTCCGTATTTGAGGTGTCGAAATTCGTTCGTCACTTCCTTTTCAGTTTGTTTTTTAAAATGTTTTTTTTTATCATTATTGTTACGTCCTGTCTGTATAAACGTGCTTTAAAATGTATTGTTTAATTTTACATAGTTGTCATCTAATAATCAAAATATGTTTACAAATGTTACATAGTCTTTGTCAGCATATATGCTATGCGTACAAAATAAAAGTGTGACATTCATGAAACTTGCTCCATTTATTGGTACCAGTCCTAGAACCATACCCTGAAAAATGCTTGAGGGTGGGATTCATAGAAACCTCTTTTGGTGGGGGGGGGGCATTATATGACAGGCCTGGCCATCACAATATGCCCCCCCTTGCTATCTTACAAAATAAAAGTGTCACATTCATGAAACTTGCTCCATTTATTGGTACCAGTCCTAGAACCATACCCTGAAAAATGCTTGAGGGTGGGATTCATAGAAACCTCTTTTGGTGGGGGGGGGAATTATATGACAGGCCTGGCCATCACAATATGCCCCCCCTTGCTATCTTACAAAATAAAAGTGTCACATTCATGAAACTTGCTCCATTTATTGGTACCAGTCCTAGAACCATACCCTGAAAAATGCTTGAGGGTGGGATTCACAGAAACCTCTTTTGGTGGGGGGGGGCATTTTATGACAGGCCTGGCCATCACAATATGCCCCCCCTTGCTATCTTACAAAAATAAAAGTGTCACATTCATGAAACTTGCTCCATTTATTGGTACTAGTCCTAGAACCATACCCTGAAAAATGCTTGAGGGTGGGATTCATAGAAACCTCTTTTGGTGGGGGGGCATTTTATGACAGGCCTGGCCATCACAATATGCCCCCCCTTGCTATCTTACAACATAAAAGTGTCACATTCATGAAACTTGCTCCATTTATTGGTACCAGTCCTAGAACCATACCCTGAAAAATGCTTGACGGTGGGATTCATAGAAACCTCTTTTGGTGGGGGGGCATTTTATGACAGGCCTGGCCATCACAATATGCCCCCCCTTGCTATCTTACAACATAAAAGTGTCACATTCATGAAACTTGCTCCATTTATTGGTACCAGTCCTAGAACCATACCCTGAAAAATGCTTGAGGGTGGGATTCATAGAAACCTCTTTTGGTGGGGGGGAATTTTATGACAGGCCTGGCCATCACAATATGCCCCCCCTTGCTATCTTACAACATAAAAGTGTCACATTCATGAAACTTGCTCCATTTATTGGTACCAGTCCTAGAACCATACCCTGAAAAATGCTTGACGGTGGGATTCATAGAAACCTCTTTTGGTGGGGGGGCATTTTATGACAGGCCTGGCCATCACAATATGCCCCCCCTTGCTATCTTACAACATAAAAGTGTCACATTCATGAAACTTGCTCCATTTATTGGTACCAGTCCTAGAACCATACCCTGAAAAATGCTTGAGGGTGGGATTCATAGAAACCTCTTTTGGTGGGGGGGAATTTTATGACAGGCCTGGCCATCACAATATGCCCCCCCTTGCTATCTTACAACATAAAAGTGTCACATTCATGAAACTTGCTCCATTTATTGGTACCAGTCCTAGAACCATACCCTGAAAAATGCTTGACGGTGGGATTCATAGAAACCTCTTTTGGGGTGGGGTGCATTTTATGACAGGCCAAACAATAGTTGCATTGGTTGAAATGACAGTGGACAGTTAATGATGGTTCCTTCGGGGCATTATGTGCATCCAGGGCACAAGTACGGTTGATCAACTGGCGGCCTTTGTACACATTGGTGGTGGTACCACTGCTGACAAATGTCACAGCAAATCTGAGAAAACAATAAATACTTGTTATGTAAGGTTTGCATTATGGGATTTTGTTATGATAATAGAATATCTCTAATGTATTTCCCACTAACATTCTAACCATTCCTTCAATAATCGAAATCTTTCAAAAACATAAATGTTGTGTTATGAGAAAGAAATACATTTTCAACAAAAATGTATGGAAAAACAAGCAAAACATTAATCCTTTATCAGTTAATGCTGAAGATGCCAAATATAGTAGCAATTACCAACGCAAATGTTATGTTGATAAAGTCTGGAAACATATTTCTGCTAATTTTCTTTATTTGTAATGTGCAATAGGAAATTACCCAATGTTCTTCATCCTGCTCCTCCATCCCGCAGTAAAAGCAAAGCCTGCTTAGATCATCTGTTGAGACAAAACGTAATCAATATCTTCAGATAAACCACATTACAGATTTGGGGTCAAGGTGACCCATTCCAATTTTTGACTAAAAGGTCAATTATATAAGGACACATTTGTTGTGGTCTTTTATTATTTTGTGTGAAGAAAAGGCAAAACACACACAAACACATAGATTTTCTAAATGATTAAATCTGAGCACAGAGGAGCCATCTGCTCCTTCTTTCACTCTCTCCTTACCCTCTTTAGAATGGGAACCTGCACAATGTCATTACAAAACATCCAAAAACTTCTTTCGCACTGTACGCATCAATTTAAGTTTGGTTCTCATGGTTCTTTTGTTGTTCATCACATTAGCTTTACAGCTTAGATTATAATAAATTCAAGGTAAAAATTAACTGAGGATATCAGTTAAAAGTAATACACACCAATGAGCACATTGAAAGGAGGAAGATGGGGAAATCTCACATCTTAAATAAACCGCAGAATTGAAAGGGTGTGTTAGAGTGTGACGTGTGTAGCCTATATGAAATTGCAGTTGAAGATGCCTGCCTGCGATGCTTCATATGTTATCTGTTTGGAGTTGAGATACACAATATACTGTATGTAGTGACTATTTACCCTAATCTATACTTAAGCCACTGTGTTGCTTTTAAAACCCTGATAATGTCCCTGGTCAACAGTACCAATGGTCCAAGCAGTGATACAATACAACAATTTGCATGGCACATTATTAATATACTAGGTTATTGATGCATACTTATGAGATACAATTAATAAAAGTAACTACATGAAGTCATTGACAATGTTGAGAAAAGGTAACAAACCAGATTCTCTGAGGAGAGAAGTAGCAATGTCCAGCCTCAGCTCGTGCACTGCCTTCTGTGAGCTTTCAAACTCAATTGACTCCCCCAGTAAAATCTTCTCTGCAAACTGAAGAGAACCTTGATTAGTATATGGACTGCATGGTCTATGATTTTACCCTCAAATGGAATACAGACAAATGACCCAACAGATTTAAAGAATGACATGTTGTATATGTGTAGTTTGACACAATTCAATACATCTTTGATCAAGATGTATAAAAGCAAGTCAAGATATTCAGTCTAATTGCTACTGAATTTGAGTTTGAGAGTAATGTTTGGCTAAATGCATTTCACACTCACTTTTAAGGCCAGGACACCACAGGATGTGCTGTCTTGTTGGCGATTATGGGGGAGGGTGCTGCATGTCCATCTTGACACCTTGCAGCCTTTCATCCTCATAAAGGCTCTACAGTATGTATACATGTGTCAAGATGCAGCACATCATTGTCAAAATACTCATAAAACACCGGAACTAGTACACTGTATCAAATGTACCTTGTAGACTGCAGGCACACCTTCGTTTTGCCTTTCCCTTCTCCAAGTGGATCCAAGAAGAGGGTTTTCTTCTCATGGGGGTACATTACCTTTTATTATTCACATGGAAACACAACATGCATTAGGCAGGAACCATACATTACGCAGGTACGATGTAGGGTATTGTTTAGATTTGATCAATAATAAGTGACAGCATGTATGTGTGGCCCGGTTATCTTGCAAATCACTAATTATATATGGTGTATACAGCACTATAGATACAGATTGGAGCTTAAAATATGCTCCTATTCTCACCACCAACATCCAATGATGGTTCTCGTTCACAATTCCCACGATGACTGTGTGCCATTGGATCAACCTGAGAGTAGTTGCACAAGTATTACATTCCTGTTGAAAAATGCACATTTGCAACATTTACAAAAGCAAAGTTATTCCAATCATGTACATACCCGGATTCTTCCAAATGTGTGTTTCCAGATGGTGGTCATAGCGTAGCTGTCAATAACAGCTGCTTGACCGTCATTGCGCTGGTTGATTTTTCTGGGTATGGTTCTAGGACTGGTACCAATAAATGGAGCAAGTTTCATGAATGTGACACTTTTATTTTGTAAGATAGCAAGGGGGGGCATATTGTGATGGCCAGGCCTGTCATATAATGCCCCCCCCACCAAAAGAGGTTTCTATGAATCCCACCCTCAAGCATTTTTCAGGGTATGGTTCTAGGACTGGTACCAATAAATGGAGCAAGTTTCATGAATGTGACACTTTTATTTTGTAAGATAGCAAGGGGGGGGCATATTGTGATGGCCAGGCCTGTCATATAATGCCCCCCCCCACCAAAAGAGGTTTCTATGAATCCCACCCTCAAGCATTTTTCAGGGTATGGTTCTAGGACTGATACCAATAAATGGAGCAAGTTTCATGAATGTCACACTTTTATTTTGTACGCATAGCATATATGCTGACAAAGACTATGTAACATTTGTAAACATATTTAGATTATTAGATGACAACTATGTAAAATTAAACAATACATTTTAAAGCACGTTTATACAGACAGGACGTAACAATAATGATAAAAAAACCATTTAAAAAAACAAACTGAAAAGGAAGTGACGAACGAATTTCGACACCTCAAATACGGAGCGAAAAGTTAAACCAGAAGAATCAAGACTATGAGCTACCACTAAACAACTCACAGTCTGAAAATTACCATTAATAAAAACCCTGAACGTTTACTTTTCGTTTTAAACATCGTTTTAAGGTGTAAACCTATGGTGTTAACGTGTCATTTAGAGGTGTAAACGTGTCATTTAGAAATGCGCGTTCCCGTGACAAGGGGGGCATTTCATGACGGGGAGGCATAATGTGACACAACACCGGCGCTCCAGCCAGTTACTGTGGGTTTACGAGAGGCAGAGCTCGTCCCTGCCTCTCTCCTCATCGCTACCCGTAGTTGTAGCGGAGCTCGTCAAATTTGCTGATTTTAACTATAAAAAGCGATTGGAATCAAACATAAATCACATTTACAACACAGATCAGTGGAGACATTTTATTATTATTTAGTTTTTCTTTAGTTTTTTTTTCCGTTACATTGGAGTATGAGAGGTGAGGCTCTGCCTCCCCTGACTGCACGTCACTGCTAGACGGTGTATGGCTGCTTGCACCTCGCGTAAAACGGCGCAGACCGGAAGTACGGTGTCGCGCTCGGCCCAATACCCGTATGTGTGTGTGAAAGAATTATACATTTCACAGTAATGGCCTATAATACAAAATAAAAACGATTTCCTTCAAAAATGATGATTCGTCATCACGCTCCTGACCCCGCGGCGAGCTGGGGGTGTGTCAGTGACACACCCACGGCCAGCTCACCGCCCGCCGATTTTGCGGCAGCTCTTTCCCTCAAGAACGCTAACGAAAAAGCTCTATAATGGAAAGAAAACGTTTTTTACTTGACTTATTTTCTAAAAAGAATATAATTTACAAGAAGAAAGAGGCTAGCAGCACTGAAGCTACAAGTGAAGCTGCTACTAGTACTACATCATCAGAAGAGCCGCCTAAAGACGTGAATAATGCTAACTAACGTGCACGTTAGCTGCGCTAGCAACGTTCCCCTGGCTATCTCAAGTTCACCTTTCCCAGAGGTATGGACGGAGGAGATGTGGCGGAGGAAACAAGAGGCTACTCGTGGATAGACTGCAAAGCTGGGAAACTGGGCTGCTGTTCATCCATTTCGGATTTATCAGTCTTCAAAACGCAAGGTGTGTGTGTGTGTGTGTGTGTGTGTGTGTGTGTGTGTGTGTGTGTGTGTGTGTGTGTGTGTGTGTGTGTGTGTGTGTGTGTGTGTGTGTGTGTGTGTGTGTGTGTGTGTGTGTGTGTGTGTGTGTGTGTGTGTGTGTGTGTGTGTGTGAAGCAGCGCTGTCTGCTTATTTGCAATGTAGGCTAGGCCTAATCAGAATCATTTCAAGTCCAGATTCAATGTTTGCATAAGTAGGCTATATTTTTCGTGTCGTTTATTTAATAAGTTAATTTCAGGACAACTTTGGGAATTTGGTTTGTTTGTTATGAGTTTTAAATAGATGTTGAAAGTGGAGATAGAGAGAAGCAGCGCTGTCTGCTTAGATGTAGCTTATGCAATTTAGGCCTATAAATTGTTTATGTAACTTATGTGCCAGTGTGTCCATGGTTTTGAGTCTGTGTGTGTGTTGAACGCAGCGCCGTCTGCTTTTTGCAGTACAGTAACTAAAGTAGGACTAAGCATACCGGTAGTTTCTGTGGACCTGTCTGCCCGTTTTGTGAGTGCACTGCGCGCGTGCGCACTTGTGTGGCATTGTTTGGGATGACCTAATTAAAATAGCGTCTCCCCAGTAAAACAATCCCCACTACACCACTGGTTTTCACCATAAATACAACAACATTGGACGGACACTATCATTTACAGTTTTTTACCATGTTCAATCTGAATTTTCTTTAAAATAAAAAACATCTATATTGATTCTGACTTTTCTACATCCAACTCACAGGTTTATCATTACTTTGAGAAAAAAGATTATTAATGTAACCCTTTTAAAAGAGAATATATGGTCATTTGTTCTGGGAATGTCATTTTCGAGCCTGAAACCTGAAAAACAGGCTTGGGATTTAACAGATTAAAGAGTATGCTCGGTCTCGGGTGTATATCAGTATTTAGTGTCTCTACTTTAAAGAGTCCTCTCCTGCTGATGTTCAGGTATATATCAGTATTTAGTGCCTCTACTTTAAAGAGTCCTCTCCTGCTGATGTTCAGGTGTATATCAGTATGTAGTGTCTCTACTTTAAAGAGTCCTCTCCTGCTGATGTTCAGGTGTATATCAGTATTTAGTGTCTCCACTTTAAAGAGTCCTCTCCTGCTGATGTTCAGGTGTATATCAGTATGTAGTGCCTCTACTTTAAAGAGTCCTCTCCTGCTGATGTTCAGGTGTACATCAGTATGTACTAGTGTCTCTACTTTAAAGAGTCCTCTCCTGCTGATGTTCAGGTGTATATCAGTATGTAGTGTCTCTACTTTAAAGAGTCCTCTCCTGCTGATGTTCAGGTGTATATCAGTATGTAGTGTCTCTACTTTAAAGAGTCCTCTCCTGCTGATGTTCAGGTGTATATCAGTATGTAGTGTCTCTACTTTAAAGAGTCCTCTCCTGCTGATGTTCAGGTGTATATCAGTATGTAGTGTCTCTACTTTAAAGAGTCCTCTCCTGCTGATGTTTAGGTGTATATCAGTATGTAGAGTCTCTACTTTAAATAGTCCTCTCCTGCTGATGTTCAGGTGTATATCAGTGTGTAGTGTCTCTACTTTAAAGAGTCCTCTCCTGCTGATGTTCAGGTGTATATCAGTATGTAGTGTCTCTACTTTAAAGAGTCCTCTCCTGCTGATGTTCAGGTGTATATCAGTATGTAGTGTTTCTACTTTAAAGAGTCCTCTCCTGCTGATGTTCAGGTGTATATCAGTATGTAGTGTCTCTACTTTAAAGAGTCCTCTCCTGCTGATGTTCAGGTGTATATCAGTATGTAGTGTCTCTACTTTAAAGAGTCCTCTCCTGCTGATGTTCAGGTGTATCTCAGTATGTAGTGTCTCTACTTTAAAGAGTCCTCTCCTGCTGATGTTCAGGTGTATATCAGTATGTAGTGTCTCTACTTTAAAGAGTCCTCTCCTGCTGATGTTCAGGTGTATCTCAGTATGTAGTGTCTCTACTTTAAAGAGTCCTCTCCTGCTGATGTTCAGGTGTATCTCAGTATGTAGTGTCTCTACTTTAAAGAGTCCTCTCCTGCTGATGTTCAGGTGTATCTCAGTATGTAGTGTCTCTACTTTAAAGAGTCCTCTCCTGCTGATGTTCAGGTGTATATCAGTATGTAGTGTCTCTACTTTAAAGAGTCCTCTCCTGCTGATGTTCAGGTGTATATCAGTATTTAGTGTCTCTACTTTAAAGAGTCCTCTCCTGCTGATGTTCAGGTGTATATCAGTATGTAGTGCCTCTACTTTAAAGAGTCCTCTCCTGCTGATGTTCAGGTGTACATCAGTATGTACTAGTGTCTCTACTTTAAAGAGTCCTCTCCTGCTGATGTTCAGGTGTATATCAGTATGTAGTGCCTCTACTTTAAAGAGTCCTCTCCTGCTGATGTTCAGGTGTATATCAGTATGTAGTGTCTCTACTTTAAAGAGTCCTCTCCTGCTGATGTTCAGGTGTATATCAGTATGTAGTGTCTCTACTTTAAAGAGTCCTCTCCTGCTGATGTTCAGGTGTATATCAGTATGTAGTGTCTCTACTTTAAAGAGTCCTCTCCTGCTGATGTTTAGGTGTATATCAGTATGTAGTGTCTCTACTTTAAATAGTCCTCTCCTGCTGATGTTCAGGTGTATATCAGTATGTAGTGTCTCTACTTTAAAGAGTCCTCTCCTGCTGATGTTCAGGTGTATATCAGTATGTAGTGTCTCTACTTTAAAGAGTCCTCTCCTGCTGATGTTCAGGTGTTATCAGTATGTAGTGTCTCTACTTTAAAGAGTCCTCTCCTGCTGATGTTCAGGTGTATATCAGTATGTAGTGTCTCTACTTTAAAGAGTCCTCTCCTGCTGATGTTCAGGTGTATATCAGTATGTAGTGTCTCTACTTTAAAGAGTCCTCTCCTGCTGATGTTCAGGTGTATATCAGTATGTAGTGTCTCTACTTTAAAGAGTCCTCTCCTGCTGATGTTCAGGTGTATATCAGTATGTAGTGTCTCTACTTTAAAGAGTCCTCTCCTGCTGATGTTCAGGTGTATCTCAGTATGTAGTGTCTCTACTTTAAAGAGTCCTCTCCTGCTGATGTTCAGGTGTATATCAGTATGTAGTGTCTCTACTTTAAAGAGTCCTCTACTGCTGATGTTCAGGTGTATCTCAGTATGTAGTGTCTCTACTTTAAAGAGTCCTCTCCTGCTGATGTTGAGGTGTATCTCAGTATG